TTCAAAGGATGGAAATAGACACTGAGGGATGGAGTGTTCTATTGGCACACATGGTCTACTCTCGCCATGATTCATCCACCCTGAAGCAGTGGGAGAATCACCATAAGTCAACTGATGTTCCGGAGTACAAAAATCTCATCGAGTTCCTGAGAAGTCATGCCATGGTCCTCCAGTCAATCTCACCTGCGAAATCTCGCAACTCCGATCCCCCACCGTCCGGTCGAACGCAAAAACTGAAAATTAGTAACATCCATTCGGTCGTAAGTTCCTCATCGAAACCTTGCCCATTTTGCAAGCAGATATTGCACTATGTCTTCAAGTGCGATGCATTTCGTAACTCTTCTGTCTCAGAAAGGTACGAGCTAGTGAAACGGAAGGCTCTCTGCATCAATTGCCTTTCTCCTGATCACCAGGTTAAAGGCTGCCCATCCAGTGCGTGTCGTGTTTGTGGCCAAAAACACCACACAATGCTTCACCAAAAAAATAGTAATCGAAATCCAAACCAACTACAAGCTTCAAAGCCAATTCAAAGTCCACCCAATTCCGAACAAACGCATTCCCAAGCTCAGAACACTGGAAGCGCTCAAGGTGTTTCGAATCATAATCTTACGTCTGCCACTCCGGTCGTTCCATCAGTTCCAGTTGTCACTCCGTCGCTCAGCCACTGCCTCCTTCGTTGCAAACGTCCGCCCGGTCAAGCTTCAGACAGTTTTAGTGAAGAGCATCGACTCCAATGGATAACTACTGTGGGCCAGAGCTCTGCTTGATCCGGCTTCGCAGCTCAATGTAATCTCCGAACATCTCGTTCAACGGTTGCATACTCGAAAGATTAAGGATCATCATACAATCGGTGGCATCGGGAGATCTACGACTGTGTCTACTCACTCTGTCCTCCTCAGCATCCGTTCCCATTGCACCAATTTCAGTGCAGACTTGAAGTTCCATGTCCTTAGCGAAATAACGCGAGACCTACCGTCCAACGCGGTGGATACTACCAACTGGGAATGGCCATCTGATATCGTTTTTGTAGATCCAAAGTTCCACGAGCCAGCATCTGTAGACATGATCTTCGGAATGGAGATTTACTACGATCTTCTCCTAGAAGGTTTCTTGAAACTGGGTCCAGGAAAACCGGTGCTGCAGAAAACTATGCTCGGTTGGGTCGTCTCAGGTAGAGTTGGATTGAACCAACCGCGAACTTCAAATGTGGTTGCTCATGCGTGCAATACTCAAGCGGTAGAGGATCAGGTAACCAGATTTTGGGAGATAGAGTCGTGTCAGTCTTCCAGTACGATGTCCGTCGAAGAATCGTCATGCGAAGCTCATTTTGCTGCTACTACGACTAGAGACAATAGTGGTCGTTTCGTAATTACTTTGCCAAAAAAGCCAGAGGTCCTACAACAGCTTGGAAACTCCTACCCGATCGCTAAACGCCGGCTCCTTTTGCTGAGTCGCCACCTCGAAGCGAAAACTTTGCACAAATCAGCTTACTCGGAGTTCATACAAGAATATCTCCAGTTGGGGCACATGGAGGAAGTATCTGAAGACTCTTTGCCAACGTCCGCTTCCTTCTACCTTCCGCATCATTGCATCGTACGTCCGGACAGTCTCACCACTAAACTTCGTTTTGTGTTCGACGCGTCTTGTGCCACCGATAGTGGAATCTCACTGAACGACGCTTTGATGGTGGGACCGTGGGACCTTATCTCGCTACAAAGTGTCTCCAGGAGCTCACAAAGCAGGGTCAGTCGTCTCATCCTCCTGCTTCAAGGGTTCTTGTGAACGACTTCTACATGGACGACATGATTAGCGGGGTCGACGATGTGGAAGAAGGAAAGGTGCTGTGCAGCCAACTGCTACAGCTTCTCCAAACAGCTGGGTTCAGCCTTCGTAAATGGGCCTCAAACTCACCGGAAATACTCGAACACATCCCAGCGCATCTTCGAGACGAACGCTCGGTACTCGACCTTGATTCGACTTCTTCCGTCAAAACTCTGGGACTCAAGTGGACCCCCGCCTCCGACGAACTCGGGTTCCACATACCAAAATGGAACAAAGATGATGTCATCACAAAACGCATCGCCCTTTCAGATTGCGCTCGCTTGTACGACCCTCTGGGACTCGTTGGGTCCGTCATTGTACTTGCCAAGTGCTTCATGCAGGAACTCTGGACGAATAAGAAGACTTGGGACGAACCATTGGAAGAAGAGCTCCAACAACGCTGGGTGCAGTTTAGGAGCGAATTAACAGCGGTCGAAACAATCACTGTTCCACGTTAGGTGATACCAATTCCACAACCAGTCGTCATAGAGGCACACGGATTCAGCGATGCTTCTCTATGAGCAAACGGTGCCTGCATCTATCTCCGTGTGGTGTCACCCAGTGGAGAAATATCCGTACACCTCCTCACCTCCAAATCAAAGGTCGCTCCACTGAGAAACAGCAAAATTAAAAGGAGATCAGTCTTCCACGTTTGGAACTTTCTGGTGCATTGCTCCTCAGCCACCTCTTTCAGAAAGTCCAACACAGTTTGAAAATTGATCTAAAGTGCTTCTACTGGGTTGAATCCACCATCGTGCTACATTGGTTAGCTGGGACACCATCACGATGGAAGACGTTTGTAGCAAACAGGGTCTCCGAAATACAGCACATCACTATGCGTGGCAATTGGGGACACGTGGCTGGACTAGAAAACCCGACGGACATCATCTCCCGTGGAATGCTACCAACACAACTGAAGGATTCGGATATCTGGTGGCATGGTCCAACCTGCCTCAGGCAAACGTCTACAAATTATCCGAACATATTTGAACTTCGCTGAAGTTTTGAAAATTTCTCTGAAGCTTTACGAAATTCTCTGAAGTTGTGTAAATGCTTCTAAAGATCGGTGAACTTTTTCGAAGTTCTGTGAGTTGTGCTGAAGTATGCAAATTTTTCTAAAAATGTTCTTCAGATCTATCTATTTCCAATGAAGTATTCTTCTGAAATTTTATGAATTTTTCTGAAGATCTCAAATTTTTCTGAAACTGTGAAGCTTTCTGAACCACTGAATGTCTCTGAAGATGTGCAAAATGTGCAGGTCTGCAGATTTAATTTAATATCTACTCATCTGAAGTTCTGCAAATACCTTTAAAGTTCTGTTAAGTTGTTTGAAGCTCCGTATTTCTATTCTCAAGTTCTACTAATTACCTTGAGGCTCAATAAATTTCTCAGTAGATCTGAAAATGTCTCTGAAGTTTTGTAAATTCATATGTAGGCTCTCAAGCTACCCTGAAGATCTGAAAATTTCTCTGAAGATCTTCTAAATTACCTAAATTTCTCAAAATTTATCTTAAAACATATGAGGTTCCTTGAAGTTTTAAATATTTCTCTCAAGATTTACAAGTTTCCCTGATATCGCATAAATATTTTTTTTTAAATCGCCGAACTTACCTGAAGTTCTGCAAATTTCGCTGAAGATCCATTAAGATTTTAAAAACTACAAGGGACAGCCTTATGAGGTTGTACGCAATGGTGACGGAGAACTACGTGGTCTTAAATAATAAATCTTATTTGTTAACTGCAGCAGAAGCTTGTGTTTTGTGTAGAAATAGGACTTGAGTGGGGTTCTCTCTGTTTATACTCTTTAATATGACGTTAATAGTGACATTTTGAAAAATTAAAAAAACCTTAACTTTAACAGATACTTAGAAATATATCTTATCGATTGGTGATAAAATTATTGAAATTGATCCAGGGGTAGCTGGGTTATTAACGTTCAAAATCTTTCATAATTTTGTTACATTTTCCATTTTCGGTTTTCACAATGTGTACCCCCATATAGAAATCACAGACGTAGTTCTACGTCAAAATGTATCAGAAAATCTGTACACTTTCTTGAAGGCCTTCAAATTGACCTGTAGAGATCCATGACCACTCTTGTAATTTTTTTTCAAAGTTCTGACTTTTCTGATGTTCAATAATTGTTCAGTAGATCTCCAAACTTCTGTGAAATTCTTTACATTTTACTGTAGATTTTTGAACTTGTTTGAAATCCTGCGAATTTCTTTAAATTTCTGTAAAATTTTCTGAAGTTTTGTAGTTCTGTTCTCAAGATCTACGAACTACCCTGAAGCTCAACAAATTTCTTAGTACTCCGTACCTCTCTGAAGTTCTAAAAAATCTTAGTAGGCTCTCAGACCTACTGTCTGGCATGCTTATTCTTATATAAAGCATGCTGTTTTGTTGACCTTGCCATGAACAAAGCCATTACGGCATATCGGCAACTAAAAATCAGTCAAATCATACACAGGACAATATTGAATAGTGAAATCGGTTTAACTTGCTGCAGGATGCCATCAGAACACAAATCAAGCGTTCTTTAGCAGTTCAAATCCGTGAAATTTTAGAAAAAAAAAACAATATTTTCTCCTCACTTGCGGCTTCATTTAGTTAAATGAAAATCAAACACAAACACAAACACAAACGCATCCGAACATAGAGATTGCTAAAGTGTGATTGTGTCAGTGATTTGTTTTCATCGGGAAAATTTTCCGCTATGAAGTATTTTTTCCCGATGAAAACATTTTGCGTATACGTATACGTGACGTAGTGTGCGTACGATAAACGTCAGCAGTCTCTATTGCATCCAACAAACTAACCTTAAATGATCTAGTGTTGTTGAGCAAAGCAATCTCTATCTGTGGGCCGTTTGATGAATTTTCACTTAAATTTGACAAATGGAACATTTTCGAATAACCCTGGAATCAATTTTGACAAACATTGAAAATTGGCCGATCAACATCCGAGGGATTCGAACTGTCAAAATTAAGTAAAAGTTCTCCAAATGGAACACAGCCTTAATAGCAACACGGCGGTGTGCTCGGTCTTAAATATAATTTTATAGCACGAAACTCTACGCTGATACGTATGCTATCTACATTTAGGCGAATTCAATAGGTTGCAAACGGACGCGAATGGGGATGAACGGGCTTTCTCACGAAGTAAGCATTCAATGTGCATCTTATGGGGCAATGATTTCATTATTTTCAATCTTTCATTCTTAGTCATTAATTCACATGAGCAAAACGAGAAGATAACATTCTTACAGCTGAAGAGGATGAATGGATGGCGATTATGAAACCACCGATCATCGTTTCATGCCATTCATGACAACTGACGATCGGCCAGTTCGATTAGTGTGGAATCACAATTATCACTGGAAAACGGTGAAAACGAGTATTGTCGTAAAAAAAAAAAACAAATACTTAGCACTAGGTGTTTGCTTTTTGTCTAGCTTTGTGGTATGTACACGTTCTCGATTAAAATTAATTAAATACTGGGGTAACTCTAGTTAACAACTAGATGACTTTGTGTGTACGAGGGTACTAATGTCTAGGAGTAGCTTAGGATCTAGCAGGGTGAGTTTGTGCTCAGGGAAACCGGAAGACGGATTTGTTCTCTGTGGTGTCGGTTTTCACCACCGCCGGTGTGATGATGGCCGCCGCTTCCGGGGCAGCCTCAACGGCCTTTGGTTGTGCGGAAGCAGTTTCGCTTCGCTTGAAAACGACCTTCGTCCCGGCAGCCGCATCCTTACGGTCCCAGCCGGACTCGACTTCGTGATGATGATGATGCTCGTGAGGATCGGGCGATGGGAACCACTCGGAGATCCACACAGGTTTCCAAATCTGCTTCCACGCCGGGTCCCAGGTTTCCTTCCACGCGGGCACCCAAATTTGCTTCCAGGCTTCCTTCCACTCGAGTTTCTTGTCCGGGACCCAGATGAGTTTCTTGCTAGGCTTCCACGTCTGAACCCAGGCAGCCTTCCACTCGAGCTTCTTCTCCGGAACCCACACCTAAAAAAAAGGTTTCTTTAGAACCAAACGAAAGAATGAAATGTCTAACTTCGATACAAACCTGTTTTTTCTCAGTTCGCCACACTTGCTTCCAAGCTTCCTTCCAAGATAGCTTCTTGTCTTCGACCCAAATTTGTTTCTTGGCTGGCTTCCAAATCTGCTTCCAAGCAGCCTTCCACTCTAGCTTTTTGTCCGTTCGCCAGATTTGCTTCTGTTCCGTTTTCCAGATCTTCTTCCACGCTGATTTCCACACCAGTTTCTTCTTCCACAGATCGTGGCTGGTGTATTCCCATCCGTCGTGATCCTTACCCAGGAACTTTTCGCCAGGAATGCCTACCTTCACCCACGACGGATACCAAACCTGTTTCCACGCTGGCACTTGAACTTCCTTCCAATCGGGCACCTGAATTTCCTTCCACACTGGCTTCCAGATTTGCTTCCAGGCCGGAACTTGCACCTCCTTCCATGCTGGTACCTTTATCGGGACCCAAATTGGTTTCCAGATCTTCTTCCAATCCGGCACTTGGATTTCTTTCCACGCGGGAACCTGAATTTCCTTCCAAACTGGTTTCCAGATTTGTTTCCAGGCTGGGACCTGCAGTGATAATCAGTTGGTGTTAAATATTTGCTTTTTAAAAACGTGTAGTAATCGAGAAGAGTTTGCTGTCCATTCGAAACGATTAGTGAAATGTTGTTGTATGTAGAAAAAAAAAAAGTGAAGTGTTTCGTCTTACCGATCGTAAATAAACGTAACTACATTACCGTTATCCTGTCTCTGTGTGGTCAAATGATTAAATGGCGGTCCCAGTCAGGTAATCATTTCAAACCTCCCACCCTCGTCCTACCTGTATGTCTTTCCACACTGGAATCTGCGTCGGCACCCAGATGGGCTTCCAGATCTTCTTCCAATCGGGCTTCCAGATCTGCTTCTTGCCCGGTTTCCATATCTTCTTCCAGCCTTCCTTCCAGATGAGTTTCTTCTTCCAATATCCCGGATCGGGATGGTGCTCCTCGTGATGATGGTGATGATCCTCTATCACCGCTTCCTCGTGGTGGTGATGGTGATCATCGACCAGCGGTACCGCCTGAAGATTATCCACAAAGGATTCTTCGTGATGGTGGTGTTGATCATCGAAGGTTATTGGCTCGGCGGGCGCCGGATAGTCGTAACCGATTCGCTTCTGGGCGCCTACCGTCTGTTCCGGCACATTGCTGTTCTGTGTTTCCTCGGCTTTCTGGTCGATGATGGCTTTAGCACTAGCTAAAGTGACGATGTGCAGCAATATGCCGAGGGAGACCTGCGGGGGATAGATGGGGGAAAAGGTAGAAGAAATTTTGTTAGAATAATGAGTTTCTTTTAAATTAGGTTAAAAGTTAAATAATTAATGTAGTTTTTGCAAATTATTGGTGAAGAATACACCGTGAAAGAAACAAACAAGAATGTTCAAAATATTAAAAATAAGTTTATTCCAAATGCAAAGAAAGTGTAAGGCTATGTCCAAATATCACCCTTCCCTCCGTGTACAAACAGCCTTATTTTTTTTATAATGGCAAGTGGACAGTAGTTAGCCTCTCTCACCCTTCTACTGAACTGTTGCATATGTTTTGGAAGTCTTAATTACATGACCTGCCCAACAAGCAATTTGAGCTGATTAAAAGTTTTATAAGTCATATTTTAGTTGAAGAAGCATATTTTTGTCTGAATAAGCTCTTATTCAGCATTCAACGTTAGTTGGGTGATTACGTTATCGTAAAACGGGAACAAGTTGATCAGTTTTTACCGATAAACGTAAATATTTTTCCAACCATACACACATAGTTTTTTCTACCGAGCTCGGCTGTGCAAATCTCGGCAAAACAAGTTTCACTGAGATCTCAACAAACATTTCATTTTTTTTGCTGAGATTCAGCTAAGCATTATCCGAGACTCAGCAATCAAATGTCACTTTTGCTGAGATCTCACTGAAACTTTTTTTGCCGAGATTTGCACAGCCGTGCTCGGTAGAAAAAACTAAGTGTGTTCAAAACTAAGTGTAGTTGGCACCCAAACAAATGCTGTACAAACCTGTACTAGCAAATGCTTTTCTAGTGCACAAATTAAGTTTTTAAACATGTTTGGTTTATTGTTTTGAATTAAAATCAGTTCTCGTATTTTCTCTAACGTTTCCTTATGTTTCAAGTAGTTCTCGGAATGTCTTAGGCGTTCAAAAAAAATTCTAACACTCATGGAACTTCCCTTAAGACCCCACATATTTACAGACATATTCAGATCATCCCTGAAATTCTCGGAATAAAGGGTGATACGGTCAAAATTTGGTCAATATCAACTTGACGTATTTCTTTCAATTTTGCATTTAAAAAACCTGAACACCCCTCATTTTGAAGGTGTGTGTGTGTAGAATGTTGCTCCTATTTTGATTTTGGAATTCACTCTTCAGTTGTCAAAATGCCGTCCAAGCAAGAAGAGCAGCGTATCAAAATTTTGCTCGCGCATCGCGAAAATCCGAGCTACTCGCACGCAAAGTTGGCAAAATCGCTAAAAGTTGCCAAATCAACCGTTACAAATGTAATTAAAATGTTTGGGGAACGTTTGTCGACAGCCAGGAAGTCTGGATCGGGGGGAAATCGAAAACCGGAAGCCGCTGAGACGACAAAGAGAGTTGCCGGTAGTTTCAAGCAAAACCCTAACCTCTCTCTCCGAGATGCCGCAAATAAGCTGGGTGTATCGTCTACAACCGTGCATCGAGCCAAAAGACGAGCCGGACTATCGTCTTACAAGAAGGTAGTGACTCCAAATCGCGATGATAAACAAAATACGACGGCCAAAGCGCGATCCCGGAGGCTGTACACGACGATGCTGACGAAGTTTGACTGCGTGGTAATGGACAACGAAACCTACGTCAAAGCCGACTACAAGCAGCTTCCGGGACAGGAGTTTTATACGGCAAAAGGAAGGGGAAAGGTAGCAGATGTTTTCAAGCACATGAAACTGTCAAAGTTCTCAAAGAAATATCTGGTTTGGCAAGCCATCTGTACCTGTGGCTTGAAAAGCAGCATTTTCATAGCTTCCGGGACTGTCAACCAAGAAATTTACGTGAAAGAGTGTTTGAATAAACGTCTGCTGCCTTTCCTGAAGAAACACGGTTGTTCCGTACTGTTTTGGCCGGATTTGACATCTTGCCATTACGGTAAAAAGGCCATGGAGTGGTACGCCGCCAACAACGTGCAGGTGGTTCCCAAGGACAAGAACCCTCCCAACACGCCAGAGCTCCGCCCAATTGAGAAATACTGGGCTATTGTCAAGCGGAACCTAAAGAAGACCAAAAAAACTGCTAAGGGCGAGCAGCAGTTCAAGGCAAACTGGTTTTCTGCGGCGAAGAAGGTGGACAAGGTGGCTGTACAAAATCTGATGGCAGGGGTCAATCGTAAGGCCCGGCACTTCGGATTTGGAAAAGCGGAAGCCTAACTGAATATTTTTCCTGAATTTTATACTAATTGAACTTGAAAAAGAAATTTAATTTGATTTTTTAAATAAACGATTTCACCGATTTACACGCGTTTTCCCTTGACCAAATTTTGACCGTATCACCCTTTATTTCATAATTCTACCAAACTTGCTGAAAGTTCCTGCAATTAAATAATGGAACAGCTCCCTCAAAATGCTTGGAAGATCTCTGATAATAATGAAACTGCTCTAAAGTTCTATGATCCTCTTTAAATATGTCGGAAGTAGCTGAAGCTTTTGGAAATTCCCTGAATTTCTTGGAACTTCTGTAAAGTTTTTGTAATTTTCTTGATGTTAATTGAACTGCCCTGAGGTTATCGAAGTCACTTTCCTGAAGTTCTTGGACTGCCCTGAAATAAATGTATCTATCCTTAACATCTTCAGCTTCCCTGAACATCTCTGATATTCTTTGAAATTCACAAAATATAGGGTCTCGATCTAATTTTGGGCCAACTAAGCACAACCCGCCCTTTGCTTCTATTTTTAGCGCTGTTTTTTTCCACATAATTGCAAACTACTTCTAAATTTCTTTACTTTTCATTAAGATTTGATAAAGAGTATCAAATTATTGAGATATTGTTAAAAATCCAACACTGCTGCTTGACCCCAAACTTGGCCTTCAAATTCTAAATTTTGCATAACGCATTGAAACGCTATAGGATTCAATTCGGCCTATCGGAGGAAAATAAGGCCTATCGAGCACAAAACATCAAATATATCTATAATTTCGGCGTGAACGTGTCAAACAAACGTTTGGTACGCTACTTCTATTCAATAGACGAAGCGTTGAAGAACGCAAAATAAGATCTTGAAAACAAAAGGCGCACTTGAAGTATATAAAAAGCGCACACGAATTCATGTTTCTTTCCGTTCGATAGGCCAAAGAGAATCCCAATGGCGTTTCAATGGCTTAGGAGCAAGAAAACCCGTAGGCCAAGTTGAGCCGCCAGAAGCAGATTTGCATTTTCAGCAATAAAAGAATATTTTGCGGCCCCCTATCAGAACTAGTGGTACACATGTAAAGGCAAATAAATTTGGAAGCCATCTGTAATAATAACATTCAGTTTGGTGCTAAACTACGCTAGATTAAGAAAGATTAAGTGCGGGTTGTGTTTAATAGGTCGGGAATGGGATAATTAACACTATTGATTGAACAAAAAAAAATAAACAATTCGGTTTTCGGACAGGCCTGCTTCGATTATGACGTTTCGGTACAGAGGCATATTCTGATTCAATAGCAAAACCAACAGGTTGCTTCGATACTGCATCAATATGAGTGTTTCAAAATGCTTCTTACTAATATCCGCCTGCTTGATCCAAATCCTGGCAGTCACCACAGTTATGTCATAAAAATATGACTAACAAAGATAAAGAAGATGATGACAAAACACCGCGCTCATCATTGAAAGGTGCGGGGTACATTCAAAAATCAAATCCGGCTGGCCCACGTACCACATAGCTATATGAGGACAAAACTAGGTCAGTGGAGTGAAATGGCCTTCAAGGTTGAATTTTTGACGTACTGCAAAAAGAATGCAAACCCCCGTTGATTGACAACCGCACGCCTTACGTACCCCCTTGGGCGTACAATTTGAGCAGGAAAACAAAAAATCGAACGAAAAAAAAATGAAGAGATAAACAGATTGATCACCGCAAACCGGTTTTCCAGTTCGTTGGTTTAAGATGTCAGCACATTTCTTCAGGTTACTCAATACTTTCCTCATTCGGCGAGGGCAGCGCATGTCATGCTGCTGCTGCTGCACAATAGACGCAAATAGGTATGATGGGAGCAGTGAGAGGAAAGCTCGGATGGATCCACCTTCCGCTAAACGATTGATCACGGTCTACTCTTCGTGCGGTGCTTATTAGAGCTGCTCCGATGATGATGACGATGCTCGCTTCCATTCACGACACAAGTCTGTTTCAGCTTCCCTCCATATGGGTTTTCGATCGTGCATGTTTGGGATGGGAAGAAGACTGGTTTTCCCTTTCGAACGCCTCCGATCCGAACCGGCTCTCGGTGTGCTGTTGCATAATATTTAGCAGCAACGAGATTTGCCACTTATTGGCCAAGTGGATCCAATGGCGATAAATGTGGGTAAATGTGTTTGTGGTGTGTTTACCGAGCGGTCAGTGTCCGACTTTTGAGCTGTGGCTCAACGCGGGGAATGAGGTGAAGTTCCTTTTTGGGGTAGCAGTGGGTGACTTATTAAACCTTAAACCTTAACCTTAAAGATTGTACTAAAAAAAAAATTAATGGGTAAAAATTTATAAAAAATTGAGTAAAACTAGTTTAGAGTGTAATGTTTATATGTAAAAAATCTCGTCACAATCTGTCAAGTGGTTATCGAGATGACTTCCAAGCAAGAAGTGCTTAGACAAAAAATTATGGGAGCGGTCGTGAAAAATCCAGGCCAGTCCCACAGGTGGATCGCAAAACAGTTTGCAATCGACAATTCGACCGTGTTCCGTGTGGTAAAATCGTTCAAGGAGACCGAGACGACCCAGACGAACCAGCGGTGAGCTGACAGTGGAGGAAAAGCGAAGATGACCGACCCCGTGAACGCAAGGAAGGTGAGGGATTACTTCAAGCGCAATCCGAACCTTTCGATTCGGGACGTGGCAAAGAAGGTCAATTCTTCCGTCTGTTTCGTCCAGCTGACAATGAAGCGGGCCGAAATTCATGTCTTCAAGGTAAGGAAGGCGCCTAACCGAACCGATAAACAAAATACGGTGGCCAAATCTCGTGCCAGGAAACTGTACCGCGAGTGGTTGGTGCATCGTAATGGAAGA